AAAAAAAAAAAAAAAAAAAAAAAAAAAAAATCCAGCGTCGATGGAGTCGTTATCAGCTGAGGGGTGTCGAGAAGAGCAAGGATTCCATTGAGGGGCTTTATTGTTGGCAGCAATGGTAGGAGGAACTTTGTAGACTGTAGAGGAGGATAGAGATACAATTAGATTAGTAGGCATATCTGAAGTGGAAGATGAATTATAGAAATGTGAAAATAAGATTAATCCAAAGGTTCAAAATTATTGGTTACCATAAATCAAATAAAAATGTGACTCGTAACCTGTGTCTTATTAAACATTCTTAACCTTGCTTTACCCGTAAAGTCTTGAGTACTTAAGTGAAGCTCATACTTCTAGTGATAGTTATGAACTTACAAAAAATGTTGACATTTTATTCTTGTGGAGAAAAAAAAAACACTACCAGAACTTTGGAAATCCCGTTCTAAGTTTTAAGAAAACAACATACTCTGCCATTACTTGGCAAAATACATGTATCTTAATGGGGGAAAATCATTAAAAAGACTTGCATTATTTAGCAAGTACCACTCATATTTCGCTCAACAGTAAAAAATAAGCTGATCTGTTTTAAAAAGTCAAGTCTGATCTGACATTTTCATTCCCGTACATCGTTGAAGTATATTACATCTTGATCACCCAATTCAGACGCAATATATTGAGTCCGAAATGGGTGTTTCAGGATACATTGCATCTGATTTGAGTGTTTCGGACACAATAATTGTGTTTAAATCATCCAATATGAACGTACACCATTCATCCAAAAATGTGACCATCCAGACTATCCAGACTTTACAATCCGGATTGATCCATCTTGAACGAAGATAAAAACGGAAAAAATAAAATAAGGCTCGAACGCTGACCTAAAAGGTGACGGAGAATGCAGTGGAGGAGAGTCCGGAGTTGCTGGAAAGAATGGTTGTATGTAGAATATAATGAAGTTTCCGGAGTACAAGATGAGGAAGATGAATGGGAAGGGTATCATTGGAAGTTTAATACAATAAAGGGTTTATGGGGGTACTTGGCTGGGTGCAGGGCGAAACATACAAGTTGCTTAAGATTCATATTTTGGTGATTGCAGGCTGCAGCTCTCAATGATATCAAATCACTGGGCATGCACTAAATATATTCATATGTATTAAATTAAATAAATAGCATAAGATTCTCATACAATCACCCTTCCCCCTGCGGAAAAAATAATAGTTATAAGCCTTTAATGGCACTACCAAAACTGAGGCATCCCGTTCCTTAAATAAGAAATGTATAAGGCAAACAAGAGCATCCAGAATTGTCAATTCTTTAGCAACCGATTAGCCAAATCACAATATGCAAATAAAGGACAGCAGAATATTCACCTCAACAATGATTTTTGCTCCTCGTTCCTTGTGCTTTCCCTGTCTACATAACCAACTCTCCCATTTCCCGGTCTCTTTATTCAGCAAGATCATTGTGATAACTGGAATCAAGCCGCTTTTTCATCTCTGGTTGCCTACCTGGAGGGCTCCCCATCCTTCTCTTGCGGTTGTTCGTCAAGGATGAAGCATCATCTATCATCTCCCCTTCCTCTGCATTGTCTTCATCCATTTCTTTCTGGAATTGCCCCTTCATGCTCATGTGCCTCCCATCTCTCGCTTCCTCGTGGTTCTTGCCATGATGATCTTCACCATCAGACATAGACCAGTTTTGCCTTCTTTCACGCTTATTTTTCTCATCCTCAACAGCTAATTCAACTCCATCTTCTAGCTCCCTCTCAATGAGATCATCCTCATCCATTACATCTTTCTTTAATGTCATTTCCCCTCTTTCCTTTCTCCTTTTCTCCAGTGCAGCCTTTAACTTGTCTTTGTCAATCATCTTGATTGCTTCTTTGGGTGACTGACCTAGTGGACCTTCCCGGCGCTCCAGATTTCGACCAGCATTGCTGCCAGAATTGTATGCTGATTCATCTCTCCTTCCTACTTCTCCAGCCTCCTTAGTTCCAACCATTCTATCTTGGTCTCCTGCAACTATTCGTTCAGTGCCAGATTTAGATCTATTTGACACTTCTCTCTTGTTATCTTTCTGAGTCAACTGTTCTGAATTCTGAGACTCCCTCATGTCTAAGTCCATCTTGTGATCAGTAATGTCACTGCCCATTTCTGCACTCCCGTCATTGCTTTGGTTCTCAGTTCCCCTTTGAGGTACCACATTTCTTTCTGATGAGTGCTGGGGGGCTGGATGAGATGATGTTTGTTTTGAGGCCTGCTCATCATTAACAGCAGAAGCCTTTGTAGCAGCTCGTGTTCCTCCAGCACTCCCTTCTACTTCATTTCCCTGTGCTGGTGGAATTCTATTCTGCTCATAGAGTTCCAACATTTGATTGCTAACTTCTGCAAGAAATAAATACCCACAAGGACTGAGAAGATATACAGAAGAATACAGAGATAAAAAGGATATATCTCATTCTTAAACTACCCATAGCATTAAGCTGGGTTGTCTAATGAAAATGCCTAACTACATCACGAAACAGGGATAAAACCATGCCAGGGATTATCATAATGCATTAAACCAAGGGATCACAAAAGGCTATCCAATAATATCAATTTTGTTAGCATGCAAATGAATTGAGGGGATGACACCAACCCTCCAATTGACGTGGGGTGACATCAAACTCTTGCCACCAAACCTTCTCACCATCTGATGGAAGCTTCACTTTCAAGAACTTGGCAGCAAGGAAAATGGCACCTGCCGCAATATGATGTGGCTTAAATTGCAGGCAGAGCGATGTCCTCAGCCTGAAAGCCACTTTCCAGTGTGTGAACAAATATATTCTGAAAATAAATTCAAGGTAAATTCAAACAAATACCAACTTAATCATACCCATCATTAACAAAGTTCCACGCAACTTGTGCAAGGGCATTCTTTGCAACATTGAATTTCTTTATGGCCTCCACAAGAGGTTTATATGGATGTTGAACATTCAGGTCAAAACCTAAAGTGGCAAGCACAACTCTCTCTCCAAGTAAAATTTGTTCTTTTTGCTGCTCATATACTTCCTGCATCATTTACAAATTCTATTGAACAAATATAAATATATCATGGGTAAAGGAAAGAGACCGACAATAATGAGGAGTGTAAATAAAAAAGGAAGTCAAGAAGGGGCCACGTAGATACTTTACCAATATACAGCAGTTGGAGATGGAATCAGATCAACTATCCAATAGAATAGGGGTATAAGAAAGAACATTTGCTTAATGATAAACATTAAAACTTTAAAATACCAGGTAACAAATTCAAATTATATAGTAATTCTGCACATAAATAGAAAACTTTGATACTTTTTAATAATTTACAAGCCAGATAAACAGTTTATAGGATTTCAATATTTAGGACATGTCTACTATGTTTGACATTATAACCTAGATAGAAGATGGGCTGGCTAGAAACTGACAAATTGGAGGTAGGCACAATCTTGAAGCAAATAGGAAACAAAAACCAAGTCCATTTTAGACAATTGGAGAAAGACAGAAAGCAAGAAAAAGTCACTCGTGTTAAAAGCAGCAGCAATAAGATTTTAAATCCTAAGTCAAAATGTTGATGTATAGGAGTGAACTGGTCAAAAGCACCATCAGTAATAAAACACCTTCTGTTTTATCCTCTGTGCAGCTGCAGGATCCTTCTTGTGAATTATCTCGTACGAAACAAGAATAACATCCTTTAGTGGACGAGGAGTCTCTTCAACCTTCCCAGCAAGGAACATACAGACAGTTGCAATGGTCTGCAAAAAAGTTTATCAAATGAATAATGACATTTTAATAAAGCAATCTTTAAGATTATACTGCTCTCACATCTACCATTCCCTTGATATAAATATGGAACATAACTACACTGTCCTTACATCAAATAGTTTAACAGGACTAAAATGTATAGAAGATTTTGACACTTTACTAAACATAAAAGTTTGAGCAGAAGTTAGAATTTGAAATAAAATGTATGATACAAGAGTTAAATGGAATAAAAAGTTGTTATAAATGATAGTTTTCACAGAACCTTCAAAAGTTGCAAATTTAGATGAGAAGATCTATTATTCACCTTCAAGTACAAAACTTTAAACTTAAAATGGATAGATTGACCTGTTAAAATTTCATACAAAGTAGAAGAACCACCTAAAACAATAATATTGTGTAGAGCAGACAATAGAAATCCTTGATTACAAATTTCTATTGAAAAACAACACATCCTGCACTCAGTACATAGTCTATCTTCTGAAATGTATAGAAGCCCTTACTCCATAGACAATTTCTGTTAGGTCATGGCCAGAGACAGAGAAATTGGAGGGTTTATTCTAGTAAGAAAAAGGGTTCCACTAGTTAGGAAAGGCCCAGTAGGTTGACAGTTATTCTGTCATGATACGTTGTTAAATAGTCAAGGATGTAACAGAATGAGAGGAGGTAATGATTGAGAACAAATAACTATGCTCAGTTGTGTGGGGGCATCCTTTGGAGGACTTCTCTCCTTATGCCCAATTCTAT